CCACGAGATGCAGTGAATATCACGGAAGGCGTGGCAATATATGATGTTCATGGTACACCATGGAATATCTGATATATCTCCCTAGAATTTATGAAAACAATTTTAATTCATTACCTAAAACATTTAATAATAATAATTAATATACATATGTACCACCAAAGTGTTGTAGAAAGTGTTTTTTTTAAATGATTTTTTTTCGGTGATTTTTTCGGGCTAAAGTGAAGAATTTGCGTTTATTCAGGGTTGCTTCGCGGTGATACACATAGTATTTTGTATTTATTGTTACTTGCTTTGCTAATGTTAAACGTCAAAAAAAATAAAAATAAAAATGCAATTCTTATCGTTGTTAATGGGAACTTTAATTAACAAATTGTTTTAAGTTCGAAGTGGAACAAAAGTTAGAGTTCAGCTTTCATTAGTATAACAAAGAAAGATTAATCACTGAAAGCGTGACAAAAGTAATAACAAAGTACAAATTATAATGACACATTAAACAATAAACTACATTAGATTCTTTGATATAATCTCGTTACAAAGTTATAAGTTTGAAATTCTTATTTTTATTTACTTTATCGTTGCGCTAATTCCATCTAGCCGCAGTTACATTTCCCGTATGCGTTTTATGTATTCAAATTTCATTAACCATTTCAATTTATTATACAGTGTATATACATTATATGTGCAGTAAATCTAGATTTTGGAACCGGTTTTAATCGATTTTAAACTATTAATATCGATATTAAATCCGGTTCCAAACACTACATAAAAGTACAATCTTTAAATTGTTTTCTGAAAATCGAAGGCGCTGTGATAGCAGCAGATCAAACAATTTTGGTCAGGTCGTTTCAAAATCAAGAATCTAAAAAAAATATACAGTATATATTTTTTATAATTAATCTTCCAATTAAAAAACATGTTTAAAAATATGTTTAAAAATAATGAATGTGAAATTATTCAAACAATTGGAAAACAATGTCGCATGTATTTATGGATTTTATGGATCGACATGATGTTAATATAGAATTTGCCAAAACGTTAAAGCACTACCTATATATTATGAATTAATGTATTTGCCTATTTCGGGATTCTTTGTCATTTTAATAATTATGAAACAAGAGAAAAATCTATGTAAATGTATTAAAATTCCCTTTGTCGTTATTTAATACATCTAATAACCTTGTGATATATTCTTACCAGATTTGGCCTTGTGGGGTAGATTTTCCCGCCAAACATGCACAAAAAGATTTATATCGTGACTGATTTGTGGTATACGCGTCTTGTCGAAAAAACTTTGTTAACTTTGCTATAAATGCGCCCTAACCTGACTCAAAAAATTTCCTCATCCTCTTTTAATTATACCTTTCTTCGTTGGTCTTTTAGAAACAGCAATATTCCCCAGGACGGGCTCTATTGCACTTTATACAAGTTTGATAGAAAACAATAATAGAAAACACTTTAATATTTCTTCCCAAGCGGGTTTAAAACCTCCCTTCCGTTCAGGCTTGGAATTTGAGTTTTTCTAAAGTTTTAATATAAAAAACTTTTTTTCTTTTTGTCAACTTTTTGTCAACTTTTTGTCAACTTGATTGTCGATACAATAAAACTCTTCCAAAAATGAAGTTTATCTCTGCTATAACAACTCTTATTACCCTTTTCTCTACTATCTCCATAGTCTCTGCACATACTTCTATGCTTTACCCTCCGGTTCGTGGTCATCCTAAAAACCCAAATGCTGCCGTCAAAGATTTTGATTGCATTATTGCTCCATTAAATGGTGACGGAGGTTGTAAACCTAAACCTTTTCCATGTGGTGGTTACCCTGTTGACAGCCAAATTGTAACTACCTTTAAAGCCGGTCAAGTAATTGATGTTAAATTCTTTAATCCTAATTTCCCTGATATAAAAACCGCTGACCCAAGCAGAGATCAAGCTCGTCATAATGGTGGATTATGTGAATTTGCTTTAAGTTATGATGGTGGAAAAACCTACACAGTTATCGCAACTTATCATAAAACTTGTCCAGATATCTTTTTTGAGAATTGGAAAGTCAAAATTCCCGAAAATGCCCCATCATGTGATAACCCTGGAAAATGTATATTCTCATGGAGTTGGATTAATGCAGTTGGTAATCGAGAATTCTACCAAAATTGTGCCGATATTAAATTAATTGGTAATTCTACTGAAGCGCTGCCAATTATTGATATCACAAGGGCCAATTTACTCCCAGTCTTCACTAATATTATTACTCCGGAAGGTGACCCGCTAAATTCAGGAAATGCTAAAGGTTCTGGCCCATTACCTGAAGATGTTAAAGCTAATTTGGCATTGAAAATTGGTCCAGATTCCAAAAAAAATAATCCGAATGATGGTTCTAAAACAAAACCTAACCCTTCACCTGTTGCCACACAAAAATCAAAACCCAAGTCAAATCCAAAGTCGAATCCCAAGTCAAATCCAAAGTCGAATCCCAAATCAACTCCAAAGTCAAATCCCAAGTCAAACCCCAAGTCAAAACCAAAATCTTCACCTGCTACCACTCCAAAATCAAATCCTGCCGACACTAAACCGGTACCTACTAACAATAATCAAGGAGCAAATAAACCATCAGAATCAAATGCAACCTGTCCTGATTCTGATAATGGTAAAATGACTTGCGTAAACGCTGGTGCTTCTAGTGACTTTGCTACATGCTCTAATGGCAAACAAGTAATTCGACAATGTCCCGGGGTTTTGGTTTGCCAACAAACAAATCCTAAAACCATCGCTTGTAATTTCCCTAATAGGAGATAAACATCTCAACATCTTCTAAATTTATTTCCAAAGGAAGAATTCTTTAATAGAATGTGTTTGACATTAATATTTTCTATCAAACTTTGTAATATTTATTCCTTTTAAGGATCACCAAATATTTGGTGCATTTTTCTAAGGATCACGAGGATTGTGTATTTTTAAAAGAGAGATCACCTAATTCTAATTGTAATTTTAATATGCTACGACTATGTCCTTGTTTTTAATGTAGTCTAATGAATAATAGAGAATGTAATGCTCTTGTGTAGCATAAAATATATATGAATAAAAAACAAAAAAAAAAAAAAAAAAAAAAGTTCTTATAGATAAAAATGAGCACTTGAATCAGTTCACTTATCAATCGGCTGCTAGTTAAAACTGAGTAACTTTCAATAGTATCCTACTTATCCTACTGAAAGAGTTCTTAGATTATTGTAATAATAATACCCGTGATCTTGATATCGTGATCGGGGTATTCTGAACAAACGCGTCCAGGTTTCAGGTTTACAATTTAGCGTACTATACCCGAGTATAAATTGCTATTTATTCTCATTCTTATTTATACTTCCATACTACAGTATCTTTTCACGCTTATTGTTCAAATTTCAGATTCGGATTTCTTTTTAGCCCGCTTGAATTGCCGTAAAAGTTACTAACTAAAAACAAAAAAATGTCTTGTGACAAAGCTAAACTTTATGAAATGAGTGTTGTCAAGCGAAAACCAGAATGGCTATTCTTGCGATCACGTGATATCATCATTTAAAACATCATCCCGAAAAAAACGATGGCCAGATTTTTTGACTTCGAAAATTGATTGCCAGCAAAGTTATCGTTATAATGTATTAGAACATAGTGAAACCTGAGTTGCGAAATAGTGAAATTCGCTTTGTAGATCGGTTAGGGTGAAATCTACGTTTTATTATGTTTTTATTGGGTCCGTATTATTTCACCTATTTCACCGACAATGCTTAACCTTAACCCTACGTGATGTCGGCTAAATGAGCGTTCGGTGAATTGATTGTCGGTGAATTGATCGGAACCGCTTTAGGGTTAATCCGATATAAAGCTCTTAATCTGCTTAATCTTAAAAAATTTACTTGGTTATATATATATATATATATAATCTTATTGCAAATTTGCTAAAATTTTTTCACTTCACCGACACTTATTTTGTAGACATAACATTTCACCGACTACAATTCACCGACATGTTATTTTACTGACATTTATTTTTCATTTCATCGACAGTTTATTTCACCGAAACTCATTTCACCGACAAAATAATTCTGCCATTGTCGTTAGGGTCAGGTTAGAATTAGTGTTAAGGTTAGTGGAATTTTTTAGTCTATGAAATGAGCTTCGGTGAAATAAACTGTCGGTGAAATAAACTTTTCGGTGAAATAAACTTGTCGGTGAAATAAACATTTCGGTGAATTTTTGTCGGTGAAATGTTATGTCTACGAAATGAGTGTCGGTGAAGTGATACGTATCCGTTGGTCAAATTGCTGGTCAATAGTACTAGTCTGGTCAAATTGGTCAAATAATCTGACTAATCAAATTAAAAAATCTAATTATACAAATTTTTACTAAGTAAATCTTTTTTTTAATTTTAATTAAAGTTGTAAAGCAGGTTATTGGGGTTTAATAGTGCTAAAGCATTAAAATTAGCTACTATATTATAAGATATGTATAAAAATATCTTTAAAATATATAAAAAAGGATGATAAAAATATTTTTATATTTAAAAACTTAGTTTATAACTCAAAAACTTATTAATTAGTCTATATTTTTGATTTGTTTATATGAATGCTTATTTTATAATAATTATACAGTATTATATCATTTTTATATTATATATTTATATAATTAGCAAGTTATTTAATTTTACTTTTAAGATTTTAATAAATTTAATAAATATTTATATTTTTGTATAAATATTTTAATAACTATTAATCTAATTTTAATGATATTTACTATTTTATAAAAAAAATTTTCTTTATTTATTATATAAATTTTATATAATTTTAATTAAGAGTTATATAATTTAGCGCATGTGCGTTGTAACGCACCCACCTGATCGACCAATCAGATTATAAGATCAGGTGTAACATGAAATTGAAAAAAATAGCGATGTTTTGAAAAAATCGCTTGTAACTAGTGATCTGAACTGGTTAAAAAATCTTGACCTGGGTCAACCGTCAGTTGAAAAATATCCCAACCGGTTGGATATAG